TAGAATTCTTGTCTTGCACAAAACCGTTTAGAGAATTTAAAAACACGTCTTTGAACCTGCTGTAACGTGAACAATCTATGTTTTTTAAGTAAGCTAGACTTTAGCTACGGTGTTTTCCTGTGCTAAGTGGAGGACAACATTTAAATAATAATTTAGTAATTAATCGCATCTTATTTTTGCCGGATGGCTTATATATTAGAATAACAGTGCAATTAATTAGTCTGTCTTTGAAGAGAGCTTCTTGAGAATAAGGAGGTAGTTTGTCGTATCTTAATGTTAAAGTTTGTAACCTCGTCTATAGGATTACATTATAGTTGGATGATGATAAAATTGCTCAAAACGTATTCCTATACTTAACTTTTGTAGTCTAGTGAAGGAGAGACGAGAAATCTGGGAGAAAGTAGTGCGAGATTGTAGGCCTATTATATGTAATGAGTTGAAACAGAGATCAGTCTTAGGATATGAAGTTTCCCAGGCAGTGCTCACTCGTCCTTTTTGCAAAGGTGTGTTGAAGAGAATGTCGCGTTCAAATGTGGCGGAAACTGAAGCCCGTCCAAAAAAATAAAATGTCGTACTTTCCTCAAAAAATGCTATGCGTAACTATTACAAAGACCAGTTTGTTAAAGCTGTTCAGTGAAATATTTGCTGTTTACGCCTATTCTGAAAATAATATAAAATCTGTAACTACACGTTGTGGGACTTTGTGTGTGTTATCGGTTGTTAACGAAGTTGGTACATGGGCTTATAGTTACCACTGTACTTTGAAAAAGTTAATGTTATTCTGGATTACGCAATACCGTGGAGTAAAAGTCACACAGACCACATCAGTGGACTCCAAGATGGCAGTAGTCATTCTATCCAAATCGGGCATAAACTACGTGGTATCGTTCCCTTGTTGGATGCTTCTGTGAATAATGATTTGAATTTAATGTCAAAGTTTTGCACTGGCATAGACCTACTACAGGTTTAATAGTAATACAAATAATACTAGAAATTGTATTAAGTCAGTGCATATCCTTGGACTTAGTAAGCTTAAAAGTGGGATACGATCATCTGTAGGCGAAATAACTATTTATTTAAAAAATACTTTTGAGTTAATTTGGCTTCTTTCAAGTGAATAAGCATCGGCTATTAACTTTGGAGCACGTTTTGCTCGTCTCTTAATTAATGCATCGTTATGATTTTGTTATGTAAGAAACAGTACTGTTAAAATGTTTTAGTAAACTATGTAGCTTGCGTTATTTGGTTGGGTTACTTTCAATTGGCCTGCGGTTTTAATTTCTATCACAATCTCGAAGAAAAAGGAAAAAATCTTTATCACTGGCATAACGCACTCTTATATCTGACGTAGACACTTGAAACATTGCAATCCAAATCTGGACACTTTCGTTACTTTGTAGGTATCTAGTCTAGAATTTATAATAGCGTAGAAATTCTTCTTTCCCGTCATTTCATTGCTGAGAAATGCAAGCAGCAACTTTCAGCGAAATTAGCAAGTAATCCTCAGCCTTTCTATAATTCGCACAGCTTTGGGTTGAGCTCCCTAAAGTGGAAGCTTGTTTATATGCATCTAGAGACATTTATCTCAGTCCTTAAATAGCTAATTACGTGTGTTACTGGTGAACATTAACAGCATCACAGTAAACAAACGTTGCATTGAACTATACGGTTAATAACATAGGAGTTATAACATATCATCACGAAAGCCGCAAGATGATTGATGCGATCAAGGTTACTAGGCTGCTCTGTTTTCATCCTGGAGGGTAGATGTTATAAAGTTACCTCAGCATCTCTGTCCGAAGTGTTACGGTGGCGTGGTATGACGTCATAGAGTTAATATGGCTCCCACCTTGCCTACCTGTATGTGTCTGCCGGCCCTCCTTTGTCTTCGGTCTGTCGGTGACGATCCATGGATCCATGGCCTCCTGCCTGCTGTGAGCTCCATTGCTGCACTGCTGGTTCAACGACTCGCCGCCAGGGTCGCTACCGGCGCTAGAGATGGGCGGGAGTATTGAGAAGGCAGTGTATGCGCTTTGCGGGGCCGATGAGGTCAATTACAGAAGCACCGCCCATTCTGCTTGCAGGGGGAGGACCGCTGCCCGGATGTGTTTGGCGCCAGCGCAAATATTAAGTAAGAGGCGCGAAGTTGGGTCATTTCCCACTCCCAGTTATAACAAATGGAAATTATTCGCGTAACGCGGAAAAGAAAAGAAAAGAGACAGGACTTTGAAGCGCATTCTCGGCCCAGGCTGCAATTTGGAAGAAATGTATTTGACCTTACCCAAGAAACCGTGGCCTATTACAAGTGAATTCATACAGGAATTATCTACTTGGAACCCTAAATGCGTCATTGTTATTCTAAATTTTTATAGAACGTTGTTTTCGACGTAGTAACCGAGTAACTGTGCAAGAAACGTGTCTATGAGTAGAATGCCATTGCCCTATTGCCCTATCTCTCCACTGTCTCAAGAAACAATCGATACTCACTGCGGCGTGTGGGATGTAGTCCAGAGTTCGTTGTTCACCTGCCAGTTCACACTACACCCCCCCTCTCCTAGAAAAAGCCTCAAAATGGTCACCGCCTACCAACACTCCCCTATTTCTAGCACCCCAAGCCGGCGCCTGAGGACGCCACTCCGATAGATTTTACTTATAATCCAGCACCCCTCTTCAACCACCCTCAGTGTGGACTTGCGGTTTTTGAGGAGGGGGGCAGCGTCAAGGTAAGACGGAATATTTTTTTGGCGGGGAAAGGGTTAGTTATGTTGTGGTTTTTGGGGCCGGTGATTCTGACACCTCCTGTCAGTCAGAGGGAGGGGCAACTCCCCACTCTTTCGCCACGCCGTGCCACCTACTTGAAGGGCTTTAGGGGTGCAAATCTTGTCTCCTGGGAGAGAGAGAGAGAGAGAGGGAGGGAGGGTGTAAAGAAAGGCGTTGGACGCGATAGCTTTTGGCTGCTTGCCGCAATATCATCTGGACCATTGTTTCGAGAAGTTACGTACAACACTGACGTTACAGATATTTAGTGGAAATAATCCCCCGAAGACGCCGAGATTAGTGAAAAGTGTTGTTGACAGGCAATTGGTTAAGGCCCCGGTCTGTAATCGTGTGAAAAGAAAACTGTTGCGCGCGTTGGTGGTGAAACGTGTGTCTGGTGATCAGTGATGTGATCTACTTATTTCTGGCTTTTGAAAACCGAGGCAGAAATTCAATAGAATTTTGGACAACACTTCTCGACTAGGCAGTGGCGTGATACTGACTGCGTGTTGCCTGTAGTTTCCTCAAAATATTTCCATTATTATTATCACGCGCGTGTTAAGAGCGAAGTGTAATAGTTATAATAACAAATTTCATTATTAATTACTGATACAAAAATGTAGGTTTGGTTTAGGGCAAAAAAAAAGTAAAACTGCATCTAGATCCAAAGAATTGTTCTGCCTGAAAGCAGTGTCCCTCCTGGTCACTGCATCGCCGTGACAGTCACCACCCCCTCCTCAAATCTTCTCCGCCCCCTCTGAAAAACCACAGCCACATCCTCCATCTCACGCCTCAACAGAGCCCAGCCTTTAAAACCTACCCCTCCACTTCACCCCGCGTCGCCCCCCACCTTAGAGACGCGTCACACCATACCCACGAAGTCTACCACTAGCATCACCACTAGAGTCGGTGTGAACCCGAACACGCCTTCCTATTGGTCCAACAAGTGACAGACTCGACCCAATCCGCGTGAGTCGGGCTCATTAACACGACAGAGCGGGGCGGAGGGGACCGGCTCTGGGTGTTAAAGCCATCGGCTTGAGGCTCCGTATAGTTTCCTCACACCCGCGGAAGGGAGAGGTAGGTGGCAAAAGTGACGCTTGTCTGTTGTCGACGACCCCTTAACGCCACCCGTCGACAGTTCTTGTACTGTGGGACAGCTCCTCAACGCGGACAGCCGTCTCAAGCAGCGCGAAGTGTTTCTCGCAGTTTGTTGTGTTCGTGTGTAATTGTTTTTCGTACAGATCTTCGGGATCTGGGCCTGTGGCGAACGGCGAAGCGCAGTGTCGTTTGTGTGGTGAGAAGACTGCCTTCCGCCAAAGAACTGTGAACGCGGGAGTAATGAAACTTGTTTCTGTGGTCATTCTTTAGGTCCGGTGATGCAAGTAGACGCTCCGAGCACGAACAATGATTTTGTCTCCACGGAGTAAGCTCAGAGGAAGAGGAGGACTGACTGAAGAGGACGCCGATCGTTGGGAGAGTATAAGGTCACGTCAATTGCTGTTAATACGATAGTAAACTGTAGTTCGTTGTGTTGCGGTGTGAACTCACACTGAGAGCCCAAGCAGCTTCCTCCATGAGATTCGATCAGTCAGACGTTATCACGCCGCCATCTGCCACCTCTACGTCACGGACGTCGATTGCCGAGGCGTCTTCTACGATGGCCTACCACCCGTTCCTGCTTCAAAGACCGACAGACTTCAGTGTGAGTTCATTGCTCACAGCTGCTGGAGGGGGTGGGGGCGGCA